GAGAATGCAGCTTTAACACATGAAGCATCGGCTTCACTCTGCAGAACAGGAGGTTGCTGCCTGGTATTAACACAACTGGCGCTAGAGGAGAACCTAGAGCGTCCTAAGAAGAGGCTTTTCCCTTCTGGAGCCGACACACAAGGACGTCTCTCATGCTCTACGCTGATTGACTTCCAGTGAAGCAAAGTGACTGATGAGGACGGCGGGAATCGCGGACACATCGATGTTGATGAACGACATGTTACGGTATGCCGATGGCTCTCCGCCTCCCGGAATGTGGGCGTCATCGTGGGAACAGATGGAGCGATACGAGGCGAAGTCAAAGCAGGGCGAATGTTCCACAGCAGACACGATGACGTGAAGACGTGGACGAGCAGTTTACATGACATGTTTCCGTCTCGAAAAAAACCTCTTTATTTCATAAAAAGTAATTTATTATCTAATTATCTTAATGCTATCAATTTGGGGAATGAAATACTCGCTCTAAATCTTTATGTCCCTTAAACTTTATCACTCCTTTCAACTTTGACGAAGGCAGACAAATTCACTCAGAGCACTAAGAGGAAACTATCTCACCGTAGCTTTAGGCTCTACAACAGTTTACCTCAGACGGACTGACAGACGCTGCTCTGGGTTAACAGGATCCTGGTGACTGGTCCTCTGACCGGGCGGAGACCTCCGGTTCTGCCGATCGAAGCCGATGCGAGTGTCTTAAAAGCTGCATTCTCTCTACTGACCAGCAGAGGGAGTAAATATTTACTGTAATATTTGTGTTTACTCGTGATAAACAAAGGAGCTTTTGGAGCTAAAGCGGTCTAGAACAGAGAGCCTGAACCATGATCGATCCCCATAAACACTATTGAGTGCGTTTGTTCTTGCGTTGAGGTGCTTAAAAAGAGAACTCACAAATAAATTAACAATAACGATATTAGCGCGATAGCTATGCACATTTTATGAATGAATAAATGAATAAATGCCATCGTTCAAATTAATCTTTAACTTTGTTTATTATGCGTCTTGGTCTAGTGTACTAGAGAGATTAATGTAGATATGAGAGGATTTTAGAGGCGCTGGATTATTTATACAATGTTATAAGTGTATTATAATCAATATTTAATTTGATTAATATTAGTTAATAACGGTATATGGGGTCACCCTGAACATAATCCACTAAAATCAACTTTAATATGATTGTTGTTACTGATGAAGCTGTATTAAACTATAGCCTCTTTGCAGATGGAGATGGAGGAAGTTGCGGCGGCGGCTCTTCGCCCGTCTTCCACCTACCAGCAGACTTCTTCCACCCGGCCGCCGCGGCTCATCCGGGGAGTCCCGGGAACGGCGTCAGCCCGGGAGACGGGGGGCCGTCCAGGCTGCCCTCCCCGGCCTCCTGGGCCTCCCTCCGCTCACCCGGAGCCAACAGCAGGCCCCTGAGCTCCCAGGTATTACTGATGGATGGAGGAGCAAATAAGGTTCAGAGGGTTAATGGCAACACACAAAGCTTTGCAGTAGCTGAGCTGCAACTTGTTGTGAGAAAGCGATGCTCTACCGTTGTGTTAAAATGATCTATGATCTCATCCGTAGTGACTCTAACACCTCTCCTGTGTTGGCTTCTGAACGAGAAAAGGCTCCTTATTTCACTTCTTGTCCGCGTGTGGCCATGGAGACGTGTTGTTCTACCTGTTTGGTTAGTTCAGCTTGTGCCGCTGTGATGCTCCGGTGATGCTCTGCGGCACTCAGCTAATTAGCCCGGCCGGCCCTGAGCTCTGAGCCGACTCTGTGCACAGCCGCTGTTGTTCTCGGCTCCGTCCCCTGTTCTTGTATCTCCTTTATCTCCTCTGGTCTTCCTCTACACCTCCCCTCTGTCCTCTTATCTTTCACTTCTTTTTTTCTTCTTCTGCCAATCCCTCCTTTTGCTCCTTTTGTCATCATCTCCTCCCCTCCCCTGTGGTCTTGTGTACTGAGGGTGCAGGGATTAGGAACAATGACTAACAACGTCCTGCTCATGTGACATTGTCACTGACACAAATGCTGTATGACACATTGGGTGGGTTGCACCAATAAGACAAACTTCAAAACCAGGGATTTTTATTTTACAAGACCCTAAACCTACTTTTTAATTGAACAGGTTTTGTTTTAAAGCTCTATTTTATCTCTGAAGGCCATTCAAATCTGCCCTTTTCCACTTCTAATTTAATCTCTGATCTCTGTTTTACTTTAAAGATTGAAAGTAATACTTTAATTCTTGAAGAATTCATAGTTGTTCTCGCATCGCTCCACTGAACGGAGAATCAAAAAACGGAAAAAAGTCGTAAAGGCGAGTGGAGCGCTGAGACCGTTTATGTGGAAGTGTTTTAAAGGAGCAGTGTGTAGCATTTAGCGGCATCTATTGGCAGGAATGGAACATAGGATTATTAAGTATGTTTAGGATACAAAGAAACTATAAATCGTGTGTTTTCATCACCTTAGAATGAGCCGTTAACATCTAACGTAAGTCTTGTCGCGGTGCCGGCCGCCGTGTTTCTACTGTAGTCCAGAACGGACAGACCAAACACCGGCTCTAGATAGGGACACTCGTGTTTTCGCATCAGCCACTTTATTTTTTCCTTCACGCCGGGCACATGGAAGAAGTTTCAGTTAGGCTGCAATCTGCTACCTCACCACTAGATGTCGCCAGATACTTCACACTGCACCTTTAGATAGTGAAGTTTTAGTGAAGATGCAGTGTTCAAATGAGACTTGGATTAAACTGCCTGAGTTGTGTGAGAGTTTGTAAAGAGATGTGTCGGTGTAGTTATGCTGTTGTTAAACACGGCCCCCATTGACGTCAGTGCATCACGACTTTTCTCCATTTTTGAATGCTTCATTCACCGTTGAAGCATGAGAGAAAAACAGGTTTTCTTCAAGAATTCAAGGTAACACGGGGTAAGGGTTGAAGTATTTCTTTTAAAAGTGCCTGTTATAAGAGCTGAGTTTAACAACTTTAACCATGGCTGCACTGACAGGCTCAGCACAGCTCCTTGAAAATACAAAACAAGGCAACCACTCTGAACCAGATTCAGAAAACTATTTCAACTGACAAAAGAAACGTTGGACAGATTTATTTGGCAGATTGCATTTTGCTTGATTTGACCTTTTTTCAAATTAGTTTGATCAAACACAGATTTGATTTAAATCTTTGATTGAAATCTCTCATGTTGCACCTTAAAGCTACGCGCATGCACGAAGGTGTTTATGCTGTCCGTTGCAGTATTCTCCTAAAACAGCAGAGGACGTACGAACTAAATATTCTGCGAAGAAGCAAAAAGTCTCCGTTTCCGGCGAAACGCCACAAAGCAAACTCCACAATGCACGGAAGCATTTTAATTAACTTTAAACTCATATTCATGGACACTTTGATATCCTGTAAACAATGTGATCGGGCTGACATAATATCTAGATTTCCTACTTTTAAAGCATTTGAAAACCAATTGGTCGTCTTTCTAATTTATTATTTGACCTCCTACGATAGCTTGTAAAATAGGTTAGCACACAGCGGGCACCTAGTTAGTAAAAAGACAGTTAAATTAATTGCTCAGGTTGTATTTTTGGGAGGTTTTGGCAAATTTGTTTTGAGATATGTAACGAATTTTATTAATTTAAATTATGCAACAAAAATGGGATTAATTTACAACCTGCTCAGTCATTTCAAACAAAGTTTAGCTCAACTATTACTGATCAATAATCGTTTGCCTTCTGGTTATTTTCTCCCCACCTCCCTCCTCCGTGTGCAGCACCCGTCCCGCAGTGACTCCTCCCTGGCCACGGTCAGTTCAGAGGGCAGCCTGCAGACCACTCTGGAGGAAGGGCTCAGCTTCAGCGTATCCCCGCCTCGAGATCTGGATCTCCCCGTGCCTCTCCTCTGCCCTCTCCCCGGCATGCGCCCTCAGGGCCCGGGCGCCGGAGACCAGGACCACCTTTTACTAAAGAGACGCAGCGCTTTCACCCTCCAAGCCACCAGGGGGCACCAGAGGAGCCAGAGCAGCAGCGGCGGCGGGGGCAGCACCAGCCCCGGTTACCCCCGGCAGGACTCCATGGACCCTTCGGACGAGGACGTGGGCACGGGGAGGGGCGGGGATGGCTGCCGCCACACCCTCAACAGCGAACACTTGTCAGAGACGCTGAACAGCCTCTCGCTGACGTCGCTGCTCGCCCCGGGCTCTCTGGCGCCCCCGGCGGTAAAGAAATGTAACAGCGCGGGCTCGCTGGACCAAAGCAGCCTATCGGCCCGGAGCAAAGACGGACGCCACCTCTGCGGCATCGACGCCCGCAGTTACTTGTCCAACACCTGGACGGAGGGACGAGCGAGAGGCGATGAGGAAGAGGAGGAGGACAGTGACATCACAGACACAAGCTCCAGGAAGAACAGATGAAAGAACACTTGTTGCCTCTCTGTAGTGGAACTCTTTAACCATTCGAACAGAACAGGAAAGAGACTTTTATTACATGTCTGTTCTGGCTGCTTGGGATCAGTCATTCCTCAGAAGAACACAGCTGCTTCTGAGTTTTGACATCCCCTCTCTTTCCCCCACAGGTTATGTAAGGACTCGACGATAATGTCAGCTGGGCTTAGCCTTTTAGCATCACCAGGATTCAGCCTTGAAAGATGTGGCAGGCCTGCGCTTTACATTTGAGGCAGAATATTTGGAAAGCCACGAGGAGACGGGCCTGACAACCGCACTGATTGATGAACGTTACTAAAGTTATTTATATAAAACACTGCGAGAATTAAATATCACAACCAGACATCTCTTGACCCGGCGTGCCCTCGTCCTACGTGCAAAAACGGTGTCGTCAACATTGGACAGATTCTCAAACTCTGAAGCTTCTTTGGAGGAGGAACTGAGCTGTGTACAGTCTGTTTTTTTGTTTTTGTAACAACCATCGCTAACAGTAGCATCGAGCAACCTTTTTGTTTTTTATTCCCTCTTTAGACTCGCTGGGTAACAAGAGAATTGAAAAGGTCGAATATTTCCTGTGTTCTTTTTAATTTTTTTTCAACATATTGAAGCTGTGTGAATGTAGACACGTCTGTCTCCGTCTGTGAGGGAGGAGCCTGGCTGGTCCGGTCATTGACAGAAGAGGGCCTCTTAGAATAGAAGACCGGATATGTGACTGCTGCTGAGGATACATGTGGGTTGTCGGTGGAAGCGTTGGCCACTTTCAGAGTGGACTCTTTGTGCTTTCTACATCCCCATGAAAGGGCTAAAATGTATTGAGTGCAGACCTGGGCCAAAACCTAGCCGGCAGATAATCTCTTTCCACACCGTTTAATTAAAAGTGTCTTTTAGGTACATCCATGTGTCACTGAGATGAACATCGGCTTGTCAAACATCTTTTACTCGAATTAAAAACTTCCTAAAATATGTATTTAACAGATTCAAAAATAAAAGAATTTGAAATTAGGTTATCAAGCTCAAGACATCAAAAGACTTGTTTTACAGCATCTGAACCCTCTTCTTACGTGTCAAATGGGTATCAGGGTAGATTCCTACAGATGAAAGATATTCTTCAAGATAACATGAATATTAAAGGCTTTATAACAAGCAGGAGGCGGTTTGATGTCGTCTGGTTTTCCTTGAGGTTATGTCAACCGTTTTAGCGATACTTCATTGCCATGAAACATTGTACTGCAGACTCTTCACAAGCCAAAGTCCCATTGGCTAGTCCAACTCAGAGTGTAATGGATGCTTTTGGTTTGTTTCGTATTTGGTTTCATTTTCACGATGCACAAATTAAAGCGGACCACATTTTTTTAAATAATACGCTGAAGGGCATATACGTAGGAGAGAATTTATCTTTTTTATCTCGAGAGCTGCGATTTCAATGCAGGGAATCAAGGATTGTGAGTTCCTTTCTGCTCTGGTTTATGTCGAATTGCTTTATTAACGTCGTGGACTTTATTGAGCACATTCTGTACGTTCTGTTCGGCCCAGATGTCAAGCAACCATCGGACTTCTGCAGAAGTCCAAGTCAGTCCTCCCTATCTGACCTTAACCAGTGTCCATCTCAACAAAGGTCCACACCAGAGATCTTTTTGAAACGGACTAAATGTTGGCTTATGAAAGCACCTTTCATCTAGTTTCATTCTCCCAACACGTTGCCATCACAATACTCTGGGCCTTTAAATCAAACTGCAACCGAGCCACAGAAGATACAATTTAGTAAATAGCTGGTTTGTTGGTGTTGTTGCCTCAACCTAACTGTTGGTGTTGTTGCCTCAACCTAACTGTTGGTGTTGTTGCCTCAACCTGAAGCTCTGTTTATCGTATCGAAAAGTACTGAGACCAGTTTGAAATAAAAGAGTGGACATTGACATATACACATGTATGAGATTCAGGATACCTGGATGACATCAAATTGCCTTTATAACCATCTGCCATCGTGAAATAGCCCATAATACTCTTAAGTGTGTCTTAACTGTGTGTGAAACACTGTGTTCGGGTTCTTGTATGTTCTGTCAGATTTCCAGGAATTCAGAAGATGTGACTCACAGTTTGTCTGCTGCATTGAACCCAAATGATTCTTTGACTCAGGTCTGTGAGTGTAGCAAGATATTAGAGAACACCCCCATTCTACGGCAAGCAATGTGGTCCAGATCGGTGTAACTTGTAACTTTGAGCACTTGTTTTGTCAGACATTTTGACACATTGTGACGACCCGTCGCATAATATAGTTATCTATGTCATAATCTTTGAAGAATCCAGAGCAGGTAGACCTCAGGTGGACCTATTTGCACTCACACACAACATACACATACATATCATACAAAGATGTCAATGTCAAAACACTGCAGGATAGTTGTTTGAGATGAGACGGAAGAAACCTTCATCTCTTCCTCTACGTTTTCTTCCCCCCCCCCCCCCCCTTTTTATTCTCATCCAGTCGTATTATCTCCTCTTCCACAGGGAAGCCGGAGTATTAAATTACTCATAACTACCCCTTCTCTATTCGAGATATGCAATATGCTACAGCAGATGTACAGTTAGACGGATGAGACTCGTATAGATAAATATGGTGAGAGGAGATTATATTTATGAATTCATGTAATAGAATTAAAATGTCACCGGGATTCAAAAGGTCACTGACAGGACGATGACGTATTCATGTATTCCAGAGTGTTGGAGTGTGTATTCTCTTCTTCCCCTCCATCGTCACGACCTCGACTTTCTTTCTCCAACAATGCATGTGGGTTCTTTCTGTTTTCTTAAATGTCATTCTAGTGTCATATAAAAGTGAAATTGCTTTTCAACCACTGACTCCTGGACTTTGTCTTTCAAAATGATTCACCATCTCGCTCTCACTTCCTTCTTCACGTCCTCACTAGAACTTTAAAGTCCTCCTTTAGCTTAGTGCTGGAGAAACTAACTGCCATCCTTCCACCTACAGTACCTGACTGATGTAACCAACAGAGGTCTTCTCTCTTCATGTGTAACTTTGTTGTTTTCTTTTCTTACAGCTTTCATTGTCACAGCTTTGACTGCTGTGCACTTTGGTCACCAAAAACGCACCAAAAACCTGCTCACTACTGGCAACACCTGTGCGACATTAAACGGTATAGATTCAGGATTCGGGATGTTGTGTTCCTGTAAAATCCTGGCACATTTAGACTCCAATGATGTGGTGCAGTGTTACAAATGTGCTATTTTTGTCCTAAATGTCAGGTTGCACCCAGAAGATTTGTCCGGCTCCTTTGTACCAAAGCATCTGAGCTGGTCTTGACAGTAACGGCGCTCTGGCATTAAGACAAAAAAGGTAAATGGAAAGGTTTGGCCGACAGCACCGACTCGTGGTTCTGTTGGTGTGGTTGTTGGGTATCTCTTCCACTTCAAGCACCACAGCTTTAATCAGCCTTTCAAGCCTGCTACAAAGTTTGATGGAGAATATGTAATGAGATAAACCTGTGAGACCCAATCAGCTAATTGAGCAGCAGCTGTTGTCAGCCTCCCTCTACACTGCTCTCTTTCCACAGGAGCAGAACATCCACTCACACTGCTGCCGGCATCTTTTCCCACTTTGTGTCTGATTAAATCCACTTACTTGCCTCTGCTTTCCTGCTGTTTCCCCCGAACATTATCGACAGTACAACACTTTTAATCGCCTACTACTTTAGATATTTGCTGGTTTCCTTTTTGGGGTTGGATCAAAGGAGCGATAGCAGTTCAGTTCACACGCATTACAAAACGTGACTTTGTTTTTGAAGAAATTGCTGCCTCAGATAAAGACACATAGGCGTTTGATTGTTTTGATACAACACTCTTCTTTCCTTGGATAAAGAGTATTTTACCTCCAGCGTTAAGTTTCAGCTCGACAAACAGATTATTCAGCCGGCATCCTTCTGTTCCAGTGTCCCACACACGATAAGAAACGCTCTCTGCTGTCTTTCACTGCTGTGCTTTCTGAGGGGATCCTGGGAAATAATCTCCGAGACAAATGTGTTCATTGAAAACAATAGATCTGGACTCTGCTATTACTGCATCATATTTAAAATTCTTTCTTTCTGGTTCTGCAGTCAAGGTGTTAATTCTTTTATTAAATGGACCATAACTTACTAAATGATTATCCACTATGCTTGCTATGTGTTAGAGTTGCATTCTCTCCACTGACCATCAGGGGGCGACTCCTCTGGTTGTGTAGAAGTCTATGAGAAAATGACTCTACTTCTCTTTATGTATTACCTCAGTAAACATTGTAGAGCCAAATAGACCATAAAGCAGGGTATTTTTGGTTTCACACGGGACACAAACAGCAGAAATTCCTGTGTTTTGTTTGACCCATTCATCCACCCCGACCTCCTCCCGACACGGACTTTGTCGATTTGTGCTCGATCCCTTAACGAGGCACACAAGTGTCCGCACGACCAAACTGACGACACAGCATCACACACACGGCCCTTTGCAACGTTATCCGTGTGTCGATGTTTCGCCTCTCCGTGCACATCCAACATTTTGAAGGGAAAGTCATTAAAACCCGCACGAGGTACAGAAGATGCTAACGTTTCCTCGTCATGATTGCGACCGTTGTTTGCAGAAAGTATAACCCACTTTTTATAGGAATACGTTCCAACGCACCAGACTTTAAGTCAATATACTATAAAGTCATCTAACTGCGCTCCCTCCTGTGCATATTCTCTTTTTCTTATTATTTTTCTATTAAATCCACCATCCCACCATCCCTCCCTTACGCTCAAATCCACATTAAGCGCCTCCACTCTTCCCTCTGATGCCACTCGTTTCCCTTTCATCTCTTTATTTTCCTCTCTGATCTCGCCCGGGCCATCGCGTCACCGAGCTGCCAACTCAGAAAGAAATGTCATTAGCGAAACGTATTTGACACAGCTTTTGCCATCACATAAAGCCCCATAGAAATGAATTCTAACTCTATTTTCTGCCCATTTTCCCGGTTCTGGATAACAAAGCAGTGGATCCTGCCTTATAAATCCTCCAGCAGACATGTGGCACCTACAAGAGATTATTATAAAACCTCATCTGCAATCTAAAGGATGCAGTCACACCTATACAATGTCTGTGTTCGCTCTGAATGAGAACACATTTACATTTGTAAGCACGGCCGGATTGAAACAGTCGGGAGCTTTGCGGAGAAAAACGAGCTGCGGCCCCCTCCCTTGACTCTCTGGGCGTTGTGTATGTTCCCCGCCTCCTTCAGGTACCCGGCAAGTGCAACGCACACCGCAATGCAGTTTAATTATATTTTGCCTAAAGCTCCAGAAACCGAGCAGAACTCCAACACTCTATCCTATATACCTCCTACATCCAGGTTGTGTTGCAGTGTGACAGGTAACAAAAAGCAATTTGATTAAACACATTTATTCAGGAAAGTGCAGCATGTAAGAATAACTCTTCACACCTCAGGGCCTCAAGACTTGGAAATAAGATTCATAGTTCATAAAATAACCAAAATCCGATCAACATAAACTGCCTTCAGAGTTTTTATGGTCTCCGGGGTCAGAAGCCCTGCTATTATAAGTCAACAAAGAACGTGTGTGTGTGTGTGTGTGTGTGTGTGTGTCCAGCTGTTTTACTCTGATGGCGAATTAATGAGCAGGTGAGAAAGTATTACAAATGAGTATTGAAAACAGAATTCGTGCATCAGCCTATCGGCCTCTACAGAGACCAACGGCCAAACTATTAAGAACGAATATCAGCCGCTGGAATAATCAGCTGTCACATGCTGTATGTTGGCTGAACTCATCCAACAGTATCGTCAGGGATGGAAGAACAAAGAGTTTAGACCACATGTTCAAAAAGTTGTTAGTTCCTGTGACAAAGAGGACGAAGCTACTTTCTTCTGTTTGTAATGGAACGAGAGTCTCCATCAGGTCGACGGCTGTAGTTTGAGCCAAATGCTAACAATGACAACACTTAGCATCTTGATGATAAGCAGGTCTAAGAGGGTGACTATGGTAAAACATTGGACCTACTAGCATGTTGATGTCTAGCAGGTCAAATTTTTTACCATGTTCATCCTCTTAGTTAAGCGTGTTAGCATGCTTACATTTGCTAAGTAGCATTAAAGACAACTTACACTGGGCGGATGGGAATCATTAGTTATTCCAGGTATTCGGTCCATAAACAAATTATTGGACAAACTGAAATTGCTAGATTGTGCTGGATCGATCCTCTGGGGACCATGATTTCAGGGTAATCCATTCAATAACTGTGGAGATATCTCAGTCTAGACCACAGTAGTGGAGCAGAAGAAAGACCACTGTTGCTGTCTCCTTAAAAACACCTCCTCCAGTTCTGTGCAAGAAAGCGATCCATTTGATTCATTTTGTTTTTGCTGGCACACAATGGGAATTGCTGAGGGGAGGCTGGTGCCAATGCCAATATGTGTTTTTTGCGTCAGTGTTTCTGTTATGTTGAAGTAACAGAGTTCTGCTTTTTTGCCCATGTCTTAAAGAACAACATTTCCATACTACGACTTGATCAGAAGGACGAAAGCAGATGTGGGCTGCTGTGATGAGCTTGCCACTATAGCAACAAGTAAAGCTAACAACCCTCATGATAATCATGGAACAGTCACAAAAACCTAATCTATCTCCACACACCAGTGGTGGTAGGACAAGGAAAGCTTCAGCATTGGTTGAGTGAAGTCACTTAAAAAAAATTCTGCCAGCAAAGCAAATCCAGTTATGCATGAAGAGTAAGCTTCTACACACACACACACACACACACACACACACTCACTCTATGCCAAGCCATGCTACGGCTCAATGAAAGGCAGCATGTAAATAAACAGCATGTATGGGTGTCCAAACTAATGCATCAGTCTGTAAGAAGGAGACTGATCAATTGTCTGTGATCAGGAATCAGAGTGAGACGGGCAGACAGGCCGATCAATTGTTTGCTAATGAGGGAGAGTTGTATAAATGATGGATGAATGTATAAACAGATGGGTGTAGCTGGAGTAATACTCCCCTTGATCAATAGTGCTCAAACTAACTTCTGGAGCAATACTATTAATAACGAGAGACATCAACACAATTCATTTATTCCAAAAGACACCAAAAACTTTACTTTTTTAACACACTACGTGTCAAAAACAGCCCGTCCCATGAAGGGTACTTCTTCTTGATTCTAGTTTCTTATTGAAGATGCAGATCTAGATTATTAAACAATCTTTTTATTGTTTTTTCCACGTGTTTTAGTGCTAATGATAGTCACTAACATTTTAACTAGGAGTAGGAGAACAGAGGAACATTCCTCAGAAGCAGAAACGTTTCTTGACTTGATGCTCCAGACAAAAAAAAAACCACATCTGTTTTCAACTTCGATGAATCTAAACTAACCGTTTAAAACACCAAAGTCGCACAAAAACACAAATTAACTAACTGATCGAGGCAGCAGCAACTCCCACGTTCTGCGAGGTGAAATGGTTGTTTTTGTCGATGGAGTCTTTGTAGAGAGCACAGATAACAGCTTCAGTCAGAAAGGTCTGTCTCACAGCAAAGTGAATAGGTGAAAATATGCTAAATCCAGCATACACTTAAACTGATATAGACTCTTAGTTGTCTTAGATACGTCCACATTAGCACATTGCTTTGCTGCCGTGCTGGTTCTCCTGTCTGTCTCTATAAACTCCATCTACTGTAGTAGAACACTGTGGAGCAGAACCCTTCCCTTTAAGGATTACAACGTTCAGCTCTAGGGTAAAACAAAAGACAAAGATTGGATCAGAGTTCTGGTCCTGCTGCTTTCATTTCCCACCATTCCTCCTGATTTGCAATTCAAGTAGTCCAACACTGATTTATGGACAATATGACAATATAGTTCTTCCGTATCAACATAGACGGAGCAGACAAGCGTTTAATCAAAACGTGGAGAGATCTTTTCATTGAGCCATATATGAGTCAAAAAAATATTGAGTCATCTCTCTAAAAAGTTCAAACTAACCTCCCAAACTGTGTCACTGGCAGAGAGAGAAAGAAGCACAGACACCAGCTGTGAGGCCGTCACAGCATCGTCTTGTTCTCACTTCACATCTGCTCCTGACTGCTCTGTGTGTGTGTGTGTGTGTGTGTGTGTGTGCGTGTGTGTGCATTAGCCTAAAAGTCTCCATCAGCATCAACACATCAAAGCCTTTTGTACCTGTCACTTCAGGAGGGCCCACCTGCAGTGAGCTTCAGCGTCTCCTAATTGGGAACCGTAATAAGGAAAATGTTCAGGCAGCTTGTCGTCACCTTAAATGTGAAATGCCACACACACCTTCAGCAGCAAGCGACCGGACACAAACATAGGTGTCGTTCCTCGCCGGCTTCACTCTGCCTCGTTGAATGGAGTCGAGCTGGTCACTCGAGCAAACAGCACCCGGCGCTCCGTGATGAGAATGAATTGCCTCTCGAAAATATTTTCCTCCTGAAACATAATTAAGAGTAAAGAATCCAACCACACGAGCTAATTATCGAAAGCAGCTCCGAACCAACCAGTTGTGACTTTGTAGCTCCAACAGTGGATTAGAACATAATGTGAAAACTCCAAAATGTGCCGGTCCAGCATATTGTTTAGTAACAACAACATAATCAGAGATTTAATTAGTTTGCGAACTCTTCGGTTTGTTCTTCAAAGTGTAAACAGGATCAACAGCATAAGCTGTATATAAGAGGTGAATGTAGTCGCTATAGCGACATCCATTAGTGTTGGAATCAGGTTTTGAAGCCTCGAGTTCGGCATTTTGGCCGATCTAGTCACGCCCTGCTGTGCTGTGATTGGTGGATTATCTGGCGATAGCAATGTGCTTTCCTACGATGTGACAAGAGCGCAGACTGTATGTAAAGATGGAAGAGTCTCGTGTGGATGTTGGGTTTCACTCATTTAGCGGATGGCTAGTTAGCTAGCTAGCTTACTTATTCCACCATGCTTTCATGCTACACTGGTTACAGAGTGTGGGGATGATGCATTACGTTGTTTAATTGTACTCATTTAGCAGCTAGTTAGGTGGCTCGCTAGCTTGCTACTTCCACTTCCATGCTGCACGGCTTACAAAAATTGAGAAATCTCATTAAGTTAAATTAATGATGAATTAACAAACGTACTTTGGTCAGTCTTAGGAAAAAAACTCTTTATGGCAGAA